AGCATTTAGAGTTAAAAACTTACTAAACGAACTGCCAACCCATCATCACTTTCACAGCATTATGCCCAAAATATTTCTAGCCAATATCTGTGTTGTATGTAATGCCCCAGACTCAGCTACGCACTGGCTTACCTGCCACAATCCACAAATGATTAGCCAAATCGTCTACTTCTCAATTTCGAAAATGGTTACTAAACACCTTAGTGACCAGACCTTAACACAGCAGAGAGCAACAATAAACCTTATCAAATCCCACCCCTCCTTTAACAACATTCTCCTGTTTAACTCCCAAACACATACACTACCCACTACTTTAAAAGGACTTATTTCATCCCACTTGCTACAAGCACTACAAGCAGCTGGTATACAACACAAAGAGGTAGCAAATATTATAATTCAGATACTTCTACATATATCTACAGAGTCCTATGAGCAAATTTGAAAGCCATACTGTGAAAAACTTGCAAAATGGAAAAAGCAGCACAACATACAAACCTCTAATCAAACTAAACAGACCATACATAAACAAGCACAAAGTCAACAGAAAAAACTTCAAAGATTCACTTACAGCTGTCTGTTTGGCCTACCAGACCAACAGCACGATAACTATAACTGCCCTCCTGAAGGGTAGGCACAACACAAATTCAATCAATGGTCAACAGCATGGATACAATTTAGCATTCCTACAAATCACATACTAACTATTAAAATCTAGATAAGTCTTGACCACTCTAGTAGGTTTAGGTCACAGATAATTAGCATTAGCTTTTAGTCTGAGCTCCCATTCTTGCATGTAATTTATAAATACTTGTTATTATACAAACTTAGTTTTTATATAGTTTCTATGTAATTACTTATATAAATTACCTAATAAAGATATGAGCAAGGCCTCACCTTAACAACAAAAAAAAAAAATAAAAAAAATATTCAATTTTATATAATCAAAATTTATCAAAATACAGTCAGACCTCGTTATAGTCACTCTTGATATAGTCACAACCTTGATATAATCACACTATTTATTTAACTCAAGCTAATATAAAACATATAAAATTTGACCTTTATATAGTTACTACTTTTTATAATCACTAGATTCTTGTTTTCCAAGCTGGTGATTATATCGAGGTTTGACTGTAATTGTAAAAATAATTAAAATTTATTAAAATATTTGCAAAAATAATTAAAATTTATCAAAATATTTACAAAAAATAATCGAAATATCTTAGAATTTTCTAAATAATATTTGACAGTCCCTGCATGCAAGCTTTTTCCAAATCACATGATTTGATCTGCTATATGTATATTACCTTTAGCAATCATATTTTTGATATCTGTAATGGTAAGCTGATTATCACCCAACTTTTGCTTAATATAGACTCTTCTTTCTTTTAATACTTTCTATCTTATCTAGGAATTTAATGCAAAATAATGCCAACAAGTATGATATGCAAACCTACTATTTTTATATTAGAGCAGATATTTAAAGTATTTGGCTGATTTGATTTCTTTAGCATGTCTTGCAAGAAAATCAGCCTGACCAGTTGGATATAAAGTTGGAAATATACAAGCAATATATTTTGAATTCATTGATAAGATTACTATCAATATGTGGCCATATTATGAGAGAATTTTCTGATTCTATACAATCAAGTGCATTGTTAATAGCAATGTCTTCACAACTAGTCAGTGGGAAAAATGGTATGAAAGAACATATAACATCATTATTATCATTTTTATTTTTATTATTTGATTCATCTACAACTTAACTTGTTTAAATTTGTAGAAGCTGATTATCAATATAACCTTCTTGAAGTAAGGATTCAAGAATCTCATTATCAATTACAATGTTGGCATAATAATAATTGTTTATCTTTAACCAGTTTAGTGCATTTGTAACAGCATTATGATAAACTATGAAGTCTCTAAATACTGTAGAATTGGTTGCAGATTGGCAATATACTATGAAGATATTTAGTGATAATAGATCTCAAGAAAGATATTTAGTAAACTCTTGTATATTTTGACAAAAGTTTATAATATTTCTCTGTATTCTTGTTGCTTTCCACAAAGATTATATACTAACATTACAGTAAAAACTTGTATTATTTCATTTATTTTACTTCTGTTAAACCTTGAAGCTCATTAGGTATTTTATTTGAGTTTATATTATTTTTAGCAAAAAATTTTTTTGGCAGGGTTTGTTTATTACTACAATAACGACATATTTTTTTAACAAGTATTATAGACAAGAAGTGCTTGTTGTATATAGGGCAGAGAACATACTTAAGTTTATTCATTTTATCTTAAAATTTTCTTAAAAGTTTATACTCAAACTTACTTATTGTTGTTGCTAATAGCAGTTTCACATTTGTTTCTATTATATTACCTCTAGTTTGAGATACAGATATGATATTCTCCTCGCTTTGAACATTATTGCTTCAAGATGTAGTTGCAAATGTTTTTGCAATAATTTGTTTAGTTTAATCTCTTGCTTCTATAGTTATTGTCATTACAGATCATTCTGTCTCTTGTAGCAAAATAATATTTTTTCTGCTTTCTGTCATTTTCACTCTCAATCATATGCAAGTCATTCCTCATATTTCTCTGCAGTTTCTGTTGCTTTATTCTTGAGTTTCCTATACTGGTTATTTGAGATATATTCTCTACATTTTTTAGATGATTCTCTTTCTCTACTTCTACGTTGTCTAACTATATTCCTGTAATACATTGGTTATTTAATTTTCAGTTAGCTTTGCAAATTTGCAAAATTAATAGCATTAATTTATAAGGTATAAATATACTTTTTTGCCATTACTGAGTATACAAACATGATAAATATATAGTTAATACTGATGGAAAACATTCTGTTAATTATAAATATTTAGAGTTTTTTAAAATGTTTGAAGAGATTGATTAGAAATATAGTTTGAAGGTATAATCTTATAAAATCTACTTTATTGAAGGTCAAAAATCACCTCTTAAATACATTTTTAAAATCAAAATTCTAATTTTATAGCACTCATTACTTCTTCTAATTAATGATGTAATTATGCAATTTTTTTGCTATTATACAATTTGAGTTGTATAAAGATGCTTTTTATATCAACCCTGTTGGCTTTAAATGCATAGCTAACTTATTAAGGTATGACTTTGATTTTCTATTAATATATAATTTTGATTTTTGATAGTACTTGCTTTTGATTATCATACATTCAAGCATTTTTTATATTCTTCAGACACTACCAATTTTGACTTTAAACATATTTATTGGCTAAGTAATCTGTAATTACTAAATATGTATTTACTAATATGCTTCTTATATAGACCAATTTGATTTGACCATATAGTTGACTTATTTGAATATGGCTTAAATTATTGAAAATGCTGGCTAAGTAAAACAGTTTCTATTCTGGTGATCTTTATTTAATTACTATATATACAATTTAATTATTTTAGAGGTTCCCAGGTTAGAGATTATACCAGGGTAGACATTTTTATTATATGACCGGATAACTAGATATTTTAATAATACTTGAATAAAGATTTTCTTGACAGATATAATTCTTACCCCAGGAATTACCATACTTAATCTCTGGTATATCTTGGCAAAGCAATCAAACATAGCAATAGTGTCTAGATATAAATTATACTAAAAAGGCAATTAAAGTTCTCATCTTAAAATCATGTGATTTCTCAGAAGTTGATTTATTTTTTGTAAGTATATAATAAATTTTATTTATTTATTATTTATTATTCTTTTTTAAACCCTTGGTATGAGATAAGGTTTGAGATGGCATTGATATATAATAGATTTTTTTAATTTATAACATCTCATCTCGAAATTATATGACTTCTCAAAAGTAAATTCTTTTTTTGTAAGTATATAATAAATTTATTTCATTTATTTATTATTTATTATTTATTTTTTAAATCTTTGGCATGAAATAAGGCTTTGGGACACCATTGGTATATAATAGATTTTTTTAATAGATAGATTAATCGAAGTACTTGCATTTCAAAATCAAAGATATCTATTTTAGTAAAATAGATAATGTATTTGTTTTTTTGTATTTGCAAATTTTATTCCAGTGATTTAAATTTGAATATTTCATTAGAATCTATAAGTACAACATTTCAGTTTATAAGTTTTATAAATTAAAATTGGTCTGACACTAATTATATAGTAAATTTAAAATTTTATTTTATGAAATAAAGTTATCTGGACATTTTTATTTGATTCCTTATTGTGATATTCTTAATCACAAACTTAACTTCTTAAACTCTCATTTTTAGATAGACTGTTCTCAATTGAAAGTCTTGGTGTTTGCAGAAAGTTAATCTGATTATCCGAGTAGCTTCAGTTATGTTCCAATTAGCAAATATTATGTGGTTGTTCTAGTAATTTATTTATAGGTTTATTCTCTTAATTTACTATATTTATAATTAGTTTGGTCAATTAGAATTAGAGGTCTGCAAGTGCTGTATATGGTTTTGTTAAAACATAGTGTCTGACTATTCAAGCACTATGTTTAATAGTATTATCCTGGCATTTGCAGAAGTATAATTAGAATTAAAGTTTTGAGCCAGGTAAAGAAATTGCATCTGGTTTAGAACTTAAATAAATTATACAACTTACCACTTTAACTTTTGTAATTTAATAAGTAAAACTAAAAGGCTTGTCAAAACTAATGAAAGATAGGTTTGAGTTTTGTATACTTTTTATTTGTTAGTTGTTTACTATTAATTTATTTATATTAATTTAATTATTATTTTTCTTGTTATTATTTATTGTTAGCAATTTAGTTTTTTTTATATACACATATCTAATTAATCATTTAAATTTTAAAATTTAAGATATCAAATTTTTTTAAATCTATTGAATTATACTGTATATATATAATGACTATCAGATATTAAAGTAATAATGATTAAATTTAAATAAATGTATCTTTTATTCAATTAATATATATAAATCTACTATAGTATAGCTACAATATATATTATAAAGCTAAAAAGTTATTATTATTATTATTATTATTATTTTTTACTATTAAGGTGATCACTTTAGCTAGAGACTATTTTATTAAATATTTGAAACATTACAATTATAATAAAAGTACAACTAGCTATATATATACTTTTGATGTCTAATTTAAGTAGTATGATTAAAGATTTTATACTATTTGTTATACTTGCAACCAAACTACGGAGTTATCTATATATTTAAATTTTCTAGTTATAACTCAAAGCCCTTATACTTAATCTAGATATAACTTACTATTTATACGTAGATTTTGCAATACTTTTAGCTTTTAGCACCCACTTTAGAACTAATCTTTAAGATAAACCTAACACCACATATCATATTCTACACATAGTATATGCTTGTTTAATAATATTCATCCTAATTAGTACATATTGTCTATTATTATTGTGCTTATATCTTATGCCACTTTTTGGAGTACTGCTATAATATAATCTGTATTTTAAACACAATTTTTCTAATTAGTCCTAGTGGGATACCACCTATAATATAATTATATATATTATAGGTAGTATCCCACTTAGATTAGATTATATAATCTAGATACCACTATATAATCTGAATATTATTATATAATCTAGATATTTCTATATATTCTGAATAGTACTATATAATCTAAGTACTACTATATGATCTAAATAATATAATTCAATAAACACTATATAATCTAAACATGTAATCTAATTACTACTATATAATCTATACATTTCCTATATCGGATATCTATTTTATATTCTGGCTATCTCTTTGAACTTTTTCTGATATTTATATTTTAACACCATATGATCTAACTACTACCCACTATTTAATCTAACTACTAGCATGTGATCTAAATATTGCTATTTCCTTCTTGTTTCTAATCTATTTACACGTCAAATTCTATATATATTGTTCATACTAGTCTTCTATACCTGTTTGGATACCTAGTTCTATATTGGAGGTGCTGGCTCTCTGTGCCGGTCTGGGTACTTGATTCTATATTGAGGTACTTACCTTTTGTGCCTATTTTGTTGCCCATCAAATACAAAAAAAATATCATGTCAGGTGGTGCTTAAATTTGTAGTTAATTTCGGCCAACACTATGCCATAATTCTGGCCAATCTTTTTGGCATATAATTTAGGGTTCCAGCTTGGTGTCATGATAATGCCATGGTAGTGTCATGTAACTATCATAGAACTATTAGAGCGGCAGAGGTTTCTATTAGTTTGCTAGTTTTATATCACTTCTATGCTAGCTTGGATGCCAAGTTATTTTGCGACTGAAATTATGGAATAGTGCTAGTCGAAATTATCATAATTTACTATGCCATAAGTTCCGGGTATTTACCTACACTAAGTATCCATATATACCCAAGTACATATCTAGGCGAAGCCTTCTGCCACAATATTTTTTATAATAATTTTATAGAAGGCTTCATACCATACCTGAGTACATATTTAGAAAAGATGGGTTTCTTCTAATATTTTATATAATGATTCCGAAGAAGCCCCATATCTGAGTACATATTTGAGTACATATCTAGAAATATGTAGCCTTCTTTCATTATTTTATATATAGATTCCAAAGAAGGCTATACCATATCCGAGTACATATCTAGAAAAATGTAGTCTTCTGCCATTTTTATATAATATAATTCCGCAGAAGGCTACACTTTCAGATACTCATCTGGATCCCTTTCTTTTATGCTTTGCTAACCAAGTTTGCTATATGTTTTTTTTGCAACCATTAAAAAAAATTGCATCTATCAAAAAAAATCGCATCAGGATATAATTATTACTTACTTACCCTAAATTCCACCTATTAAGAATGTATTTATTTACGTCTAGATACTTTCACTATATCTGAGTACATATCCAGGAGAAGTGGGGCCTTCTGCCATTTTTATATAATATAATTACGCAGAAGGCTCCACTTTCAAATACATATCCAGATGTCTTTCTTTTACGATTTGCTACCCAAGTATAAGTATCTAATATATGTCACATATACCTGGGTGCATACTAGTATTAGAGTATTCTTCTTTCAGTATTTTATATAATAGATTCTGAAGAAAGATACCCTAGACGTCATATCATACCCAAGTACATACTAGTATTAGGGGTAGTCTTTTGCCAATATTTATATAATAGTTTACACAGAAGACTACCCTAAGTATCACCTATTAAGAATTTGTTTATTCGTGATTCTTTTTCATCTTGCTATATGCTTCTTTTTCCATCTATCGAAAAAAATAATTAAACATTTCAGAAATATATTGTGATATAATAACTTTACCTATTGACAACATGCATACTACAACTATTTTTGACCAAACCAATCACACTGGAACCGGCCCCCTCGCCCACTACAATGGCACTGAGACTTTAGCTAGTATTCCATCATGTAATGAGATCGTAGCAGAACATGATAATGGGATGACTGCTATACTTTAACAATGCTTATCTAATAATCAACCTGTATACTTTATGCCTACTGAAGTTAGTGAAGATACCGAATATGTAAAAGGGGTTTCTACGTATATTTTGCGTATTGCTGGTACTTTGATTGATAGACAAAAGGCAGTTATGAATATTACAGGTATCAAACCCTTCTTTGATATCAAAGTACCTGAAGAGATGTCATTATCTATGTTTAAGACCAAATTAGTAAAGATATTATCTAATATTCTTAATAGCTAGTGTTTCGATCCTATTTTTGACAGGCAATCTGGATTCTATTAAATCCGGATTGAATCTGTATTAGATTACATATAAAGCTAGTTTTGTAGCATGTCCTTAGGTTCGTTATCCAAGTCCTTTAACCAATCCGAACAAGAATCTCTGATTAGATATCTAAATCTATCTGGATTTAGAGATCAATTTGGAAAGTCAGATTAAGGATTGAAACACTATATACTAGTAGGATGATGAGTCAGGAAGGTTATTTTGAAAATAGCAATGAGGTAAGCAAGAGCTATATGGTATGGAGTTAATATAAAATTGTGTAGATAGTATATTTAGTAGCATTTTGATTTTGAAGAATTTAAGATGATTAAGTTTGGAATTGGTGAAGTTGTATGATCTTTTATGATTGTTATTAAAGAATAGTCAAGTAAAATTCTAGTTGATAAGGTTAGAAAAATATAACTACTCTTGGCAATGTTTTTAGGAGAACCACATTGTGATAGTTTTGGCATTATATATATTTTTTAATAAAGCATCTAGTAAAGCATTCAATAGAAGTATTTTTCTATTGAAAGAAGAAGTAGGGGTTATAAATATTGGAATAATTAAAGAATAAGGTTGGTAAGGATAGGTGATTATTAGCAAGGAGATCTGCTAAATTATTAAAGATATCATTTGAATGAGCTTAAACTTTGTGGAAAGATAAACTAATATTATATGCTTTAAGTAGATTGAGGAGTGTGTACCAAATTGGCTAAGCATTAAATTTGAAATATTTAGTAATAAAGTGGGAGGTTTGTAGAAGTTTGTTGTATTTAGAGATTACTAATTGAGAGTCAATAAAAATATCAACTAAGAAATTGTAAAGAACTATAGAGATAGCAAAGAAAATAGCTAAAAGTTCTACTTTATAGAATAAGGGCCAATCGGAGATCTGAGCAGAAAAGTTGTATATAACTAAGTTATTAGCTAGTTGAACCTAACTAATCTCTATAATGCATTAATTGGTATCAAGATTTAGAACAGAGTAAAGTATGGCATCATAAGTAGCCAATTACTACAATTATAGTTACTATATATATTTTTACAAATGTTTTTTAAAACCATAATTGAAGTAATATTTACTACATGTAGTAATGTTTACTACATGTAGTAATATTTACTACATATAGTAAATATTACTACATATAAGTAATTAATATTATAAATAGTAAATATTACTATATGTAGTATTTACTACATGTAATAATATTATTAAATATACGTAATAAATATACTAAGCTATCCATGAAAGATTATTACAAGTGCACCAATCAGATTTTTCAGATTAAGTCAAGTTAACATAAAAATCACACTTCAAAAAAAAGCAGTTAATCAACTATGCAATCACTTTCTGCACTCTAATAAAAATCTTTCTTGTGAAATTTTGGTATAGAACATGCTTATTGTGCTTCCAAATATTACATATATTAGAGATCTGATTGATATATACTTGTAGATCTTTCAGGGTAGCTTATATAGTATTATTATTATAATTACCATATACATTACGGTGCATTTGTCAAATACCCCAAAATTTGAAAAATTTGACCACCGATAGTGAGTCATTTAATTGACTCATATATGTAATTAATAGACTATATTGATATGACTTCATAATTGTTCTGATCTAAACTATGATATACTATAAATGTAAATAATATAATAATAATCTGTACAAATACTCTTACCCAAAATTACTTTAAATTTAAAATGAAGGAAGTTGGCGAAGAAAATTCTAATTACCCCATGGATCGTACAATTAAATGGAAGTCTTCACAAAGAAGTTTTCGTTACTATATTGTAAAAGAAGGTGTTTATCCATCTAAGTCTTATCTCGCCTATACCAAAATGCCAAGCCACTATCCAATTCCGGATAATTATGTTGTAGAAACAACCTATGGAAAGAATGAAAGAA